GATGTCTGTAAGCTCCTCAAACTCTACTCAGTACGTGTGTCCCATCAAACTTGTCACATGCACACATTATACAGTTTTTTTTCTTCTGCATCCTGTGCAATATGGACTAGAGTTGAAGGTTTTCATACATGTCAATGCAACAAAAAGCACAGTTGTGCTGTCTTCTGAGAGTACTAGAAGAGTCTGTACACAAAGGAATACGATGGTCTGTACAGAGGACCTTCAATATGCATGGATCATATACTCTGGCTTAGATTGCTCCCTCTGGCAGACTTCTAGTCTTCTGGGAAGATGCATAGACAGGGTCATAATTCTTCCTCCTTCTTGTATATTTCCTGCTGATTTCATCCCAGCAGGATCAAGGAATGAGTAGTACCTTGTTACAGGTACTTGTCTTGAAATGAACTCTTGGGTGAACCATGCAAGGGAATGGGGTTTGGTATATCTTTTCATCTCCGATCACATCTATGTACCTATACAATAGTGAACACTTTCTGTCTCTTTATACTGAAGATTAGATTTTTTCATGCATATATGTTGTATGTGTATGAGAGAGAGAATCATTCTGAATAGTTAGTGCAAAAACTACTGGGCTTCTTGCTTTCTGTATATTATTTGTTCATTGCTTTTAGTTAGGTAGACAACAAAACTGTTAACTTTCAGCTAGTTATTTGAATGAGGTATGCAAGTCTTTGTATTCATTAATATATTTAATTAGTGTTAACATAATAGCGTCATGCATAGTATATATTGTGGCACTACTGTAGATGCCATTTTTTTTGCACAGATGTGCTGTTTTTTCCCCCCTCAGAGTAAAATGTGCAAAAATGATCATATTCCATATGAAGAATTCAGAGGCAGCCTTAGGGAAAATGGCATCCTGGGCAAATTTGTATTTTGGCACTGCCTCCTTGGCATCCTCCCCTGGTGCCCCTTCCCCCCCTGACACTTGCTCTTCATTTCAGCAGTGCTGCTGCAGAGGGAGGCAGGCAGGGGCACGGGATACAGTCTAGTTGGGAGGTGAAGTGGCATGGTCTGGCTCCTCCTGAGCAGGGGCTGGAGGTGGGGTGTGAGTTGAGCTGGGCCGGGCGTTGCTTCTCCTGTATGGGGTGGGGATTGGCTGGGGGGTGAGGGAAGAACACTGCTGTGAGTGCAGGCTGCTCACTCACATGCGTGCGCGCGTGCGCATATGTGTGCTGTGTGTGTGCATGCATGTGCATGTGTGTATGATGCCACCCCGACCATGGTGCCCTGGGTGGTTGCTCATGTCACCCACCCCTAAGGCTGGCTCTGGATGGATTTGTTTCTAAATATTCATTTCCTGCACTACAGAAAAAATCCCTTATATGTACATTTCCTTTTTATCTAGTTACTTTGCAAATACTCACAAAAATGTACCTAAGTTATACTGAACTGTATATTATATGACTAATTCAATGAATGGGAATATTAAGAATATCTATTTCCTCTAAATATTGAGGATCTACATGAAATCTTTGATTCAACTGCAAATCTAGGAAAAATGTAATTTGCTAATGAGACATGACATGATTTCCATAGGTTTCAAGGTGTTCTATTAATTTAGACTCTAGCTGTACTTACAAACTTCTTATAACTTTTGGAAGTTGAAACCTGTACCAAATTTTATTTTAAAGTTACTATCTCTTATACAGTTTTCAAGTTACCAGTAGTTTGAGGTATATTTTAGGTCATGGGTCAAAACTGAGCTGTAATAGGTTACATCTCATAGTGGAGTGGAGATCTGGGAAAAATACATTTCCCCTGACATAATAGAAAAGGTTCAATTCCTAGCAGTCTATGATGCATTCAGATGCAACTGTACAATTTGTGAGAACCACTAGATTATATCTTCATATTAGTATAGCAGTCCTCCAAATCTCAAAAGGAAAAGATCTGTCATATGAATTTCTGATCTCCCACTTAAAACCGGGAAGGCTTTGGGATATGGGACTCAAAGTAAACATGAAAGTAATGGCCTTGGTTTAGTTTCATACAACTTGTGCATGTGGAGTAGTCATAGGCCAGGTCCCAAATGTGCAAATAACTGCTTTTTTCTCAGTTTGGCATACGCAATCAGGAAATTGTTTTGGATAAACTCTAGATGAAAATATTTCTATTTTTGTTGTCTCAGTGATGGATAGCCTTCCCCCCTCTCCTAACACCAAACAATTCCCCACTTCACTGAACACAAAACTATCCATACAATGGACTTGTCTGTATAACCTGGGAAGTAGGATTTTTGTACTGATGGGAGTGAAGAGGATGTTTCAGCCCTGTTTCTCCTTCTGCACATCTTCTAGTACCTTTAGAGATAGTGATATGGACTAATAATGGGCACACTAACACTAAGGAACCCTCTGTGCATTACATATATCACGTAGTTACTGGGCTAATTGTGCAATTAATTTGGACAGACTACACATACATTTTAACTATAACATCTTAAAAAGGTCCAACCAGCTATAAGGTTATTGCTGGAGAATGTGTAATAACTTTATAGCTGGTTTCTATCCAGCTTTAATTTGCACATGTAGCAGGGTCTGTCCCTATGGCAGGAGTCACAGATTACTGGCAGGACCCAAAGACCACAGTTGTAGTACTCATGGTCCAGGAAGCTGTGGGGCACTGCCACAGTTGCAAGTCCCATTAGCTAGAATGGATTACAAAGGTACCATTTCTTTATTATGTGGATGCATACATACTCTTTTGAATTGACCCTCTGTTTTGTTTTTGAAAGAATTCTTCACACATTCTGTATCCAGCTTGAAGAACACATAGCTTCCATGAAAACCATTCTGATTGAACAAAGCTCTGTATATCTACAGGTGCCTGGATAAAGAAATGCAACTCACAACCTGAAATCTAATATGATGTACAGTGTTCTAAATTCATAAGCCATGAACACACAAAACATTTTGCATCTGTCAACCCGTTTGAGTTATTTTTGTGCTTGGCACCCATTAGAACATAATTTGTGCCCATTTTTAGTTTTGAGAAATGTTAGAATTTAATTGTAGTGGGGAGCATATAATTAGTCTTGAGCATCTGCCAGCCATTAAGTGCTCTAGTGGCCAACATTTTCACAAAGCTTTGAATCACAGCCTTTGGGTTCACTAATGACTTGGTATCATTTGCCTGCAGCAGCCTGTGAAAGAAAAATATTTGTAAACATTAAAGTTTGTTTTATATTAACAGTTTATCTACTGAATGAAACAAGGATCAAATGTGCTCCAAGGCAAGTAGGTCTCCCTGCTTGTTCTTTGTTCTCCATAGTTTTCATAAGTAACAAACACATTGATTTTGGTAGGCCTTCTTTTTACACACACACACACACACACACACACACACACGTATCTCACTGGTAGAAAATCAAATAATCTTTTCTATATTTTTGCTTCTAATACTTCCAGCTACCTACATAATACCTTATTTTCCATGACTGTGGGCACCCAAATTTTGTATACATCACCATAACTCTATATTGAAAAAATGCTCTCTTCTGAGCCCAACACTGTAAGATACATTATAATATTAGCAAGATCAAAATCTCCACTGTTTAGTAGGTATTTTGCCTTCACTGGAGTCACCAATAACAACATACAACTATAAAATACTATTTATTGAATATAGTATTGAATATACAGTCTATATAGTATTTTATAGTTGTATGTTGTTATTGGTGACTCCAGTGAAGGCAAAATACCTACTAAACAGTGGAGATTTTGATCTTGCTAATATTATAATGTATCTTACAGTGTTGGGCTCAGAAGAGAGCATTTTTTCAATATAGAGTTATGGTGATGTATACAAAATTTGGGTGCCCACAGTCATGGAAAATAAGGTATTATGTAGGTAGCTGGAAGTATTAGAAGCAAAAATATAGAAAAGATTATTTGATTTTCTACCAGTGAGATACGTGTGTGTGTGTGTGTGTGTGTGTGTGTGTGT